CAGTGGTGAATAAATACCACCAAAAGAAAGCTCTATCTGTCCCCAAAAAAGGGTATAAAATTCATTTCAGTACAGCGTTGCATGACGGAATAAATGTCAGTCAAAGTACCGCAGCGCTGAATACTGAAAAATGGCCTGGATGGGAAGGGGGTTTAACACCGCGGATGTCAACTTGTTAAGTTCCCCCCCCCCCAAAAAATGTAAAGCAACACATAAAAAAGAATAAACATTTTTTTTAAGTCCCCACCCATACATACATGCGTCGGGGGCGCATAGGTGCAAAAACGACGATTGCGCCCATTACGATTTATCCGACGTGACCCTGACTTTTATATTTCACAAAAAAACTGGGTAATAAGTGTTTCCTAACAAATGTAAAAAAAATACTTTTTTCAAAATTTTCTTTAATTTTTCCTAATTATAGTAAAAAAAAAAAAAGTGGTGATTAAATACCACCAAAATAAAGCTCTATCTGTCCCCAAAAAAATGGTATACAATTCATTTCAGTACAGCGTTGCATGGCGGAATAAATGTCAAAGTACTGCAGCGCTGAATACTGAAAAATGGCCTGGCCAGGAAGGGGGTCTAAACACCTGGTCTTGAAGTGGTTAAGGGATTAGGTCTTCAGCACCTCCAGGAACACCCCAGCAAATCAGGGATCTTACAAAACTGAGTACTAGAACAAATAGTAGCAGACATATCATAGCTCACTAAGCCATGTACACAAAAGCTGAGGGTTCTACTGCTGCTTCCATGGTTGCCATCTTATAAGCAGTAATAAAATACAGAACAAGAGGTGATAGGGTCTTTTAAAGGAAACCTGTACCGAGTGAAACCTGGCTGCCATACTCATCTACTGGTTTCAATACTGGGTTATTGACCTGAAAATGTATGCCGAGCAGAAGTTCTACCCTTACTCCAGCCTCACTTGCTCTATGCATGTTCTAGGTCACTGGCTCCAGCCAGACAGCTTGCATTTTTAGAAGCAGGTCAGCAATGGCAGACTTAATATTTCTCCTGCACCTAAGGCTAAAAACAAGTTTCCCTTTCTGACCTCTTTAAAAAGTTAGTTTCCTGGCTGTCCATGGCTTGACTAATTAAAGTCTAAATTCACCGAGAACAGAAATCTCTGGTATTGGTTTAATCCCAGTATGGTATACCTCCTGCTATAAGGGCAAATAGACACATGCAGTAAAAACCAAGCGTTGCAGAAAATAGATATGATGATGAAGTTGCTGGTCCCCAAAACCCTGAACCAAAAGCCAAAATTAGTGAAAGCTAATATACTGCCCTAAGACTAAAATTCAGTAACTCATTTCGGCCTTGAAAACTCAAATCCCTGTGACAGTCTTCTTGCCAACCAATAAAATGGTGGTGGGTACACTGACAAACAAGAAGCATCTTTAAGGACCAAATACCAAGAGGAACGTGCACATTTCTTTCCATCGGATTAGGAAGAGAATTCAGTTGTATGCAGCAATCCACTATCTGGGGTCTACTTATAAAGGGGTGAATGATTACATGCGTGATTACTGGTCCCTTTTTAGTTAAAGGTCACTATTTCACTGGGTCATTGCTCACATTAGATTGGATTTTCCAAATTTCTGTTCCCCAACTCCGAGCTGCCATATACTATTCTTCTCAATGTCCCTTGGAAACAGAATGGGCTTATGAAGTCAGAGATCCAACACAGACCCATCATGCTACCAGCAGTACATTCGCTGACAATAGCGTCAACAGTAACAGACAAAACATTCCCAGCAGCAGATCCAGAAATACAAATATTTACCCCTGCATCATCTATATATCCAAAATACTGGTATGTGCCAAAAATGCCATAGAAAAGTATTTCAAGCTAAGCTATGCATTCATCAAAAAGTAATCAAATGTATTTAACCACTTGACTTCCACTGTGTTAAACCTCCTTCCTGGCCAGGCCATTTTTCAGTATTTAGCGCTGCAGTACTTTGATGTTTATTCCGTCATGCAACGCTGTACTGTAATGAATTTTATACCATTTTTTGGGGACAGATAGAGCTTTCTTTTGGTGGTATTTTATTTTTTACAATATAACAAAAAAAGTAGGTTAAATTTTGAAAAAAACCCTGTTTCCTTATGAAATGTTATGAAACATTTATTATTACCCAATTTCTAAAGTAAAATATAAAAGACGAGGTCACGTCGTGTAAATAGACACCAAAAATGTCAAGCTTTAAAATTGCGTGCGCCCGCGAAATCGCAGAAAACGACCATACCGAAACTTGGCAATAGGCGACACTAAAATTTTTTACCGCTCATCAGTTATTAATGGCTCTAAAATTATTGCTCTCATTCTGACGTTGGCAGCGATATGTAACATGTGCAGCACAATAGGCGGAATCATTGTTTTCGTACCCGACGCATGTTTGCGTGTGTATGTGGGGGGCCGGGGACTTTTAAAAAAATGGTGTCATTTTACTTTTATTTGTCACTATTTTTTCCAGCTTTTTTTTTTTTTACACAACTTTATTGGCATCATATAGGTTGGAAATCCCCTATGCGATAGCCAATTCACAAAACAGGTCCTCTTTATGGAGACATCAGGGGTCTCTAAGACCACTAATGTCACCTAGGAACCCCCAGAGAAGCTGATGAAGCAGAGATCTGTAATACACATCACTTTCTGCATTCGTGGACCAAGAATAGATCAAAAGGGAGGTGTGTACTTGTCTCCCTTTGATTTCCACAGAGAGCGTCGCCGCGCTGGTCCCAGGAGGAGGAGGCGGCTGTGCGCGCACACCCGCAGCTACTGCAAGCGATCGGATGTAAACAGCCATCGCTGTTTTTTTATCCCTTTTTCGTTAACACCAAGTGTTAGTCGGGCTCGGAATTCTATGCAAGGATGGTTAACCTGAGCATCACTTGAAGCAGCTATTTTTCTACTATACCCCGAGCCCAAGTAATGCTCGGGTGAACACAAAGGAGACTGGATTTCAGGATGAAAGAGCGGAAGGAGGATCAGCGTACATCAATTTACTGATCATCCTAAATTTTGTGAACCTGAAAGTGCTCTGCCCTGAGCACTTCTGGGTTCGTAACATTCTGGCTGGTGGCAGCAAGGAATGTAAACAAATCAAGTACTGTCAGTACTTTATATTTTTTGAAGCAGTGCAGGGAAGACATCAGAGGTCTAATATACTCTTGATGTTTCCATATAGAAGAACCTGTCTTTTCAAATATACGATTACAAGATGTTATATTAAAAAAATGAAATAAAAATATATTCTAACATTTATCAAGCCCTGGACGTGAGGAACATTCCAATGCTGCTGCTGCGGAGACAAGCTGGAGGGAGTGCTGTGACAGCTGGCCATGTCACAGGATCAGGCGAGCATATCTTTGTTATTTTTGTCTCTAGACACAAACGAGCACTTAACTCTTGCAGTGCAGGAGTAGCCCCACTGCAAGAGTTCACCAAAAATGTTTTTTCTTTGAGTTCTTCTTTAAGCAATACACTCTGGCCTAGAAGAAACCCCAGCCTTAGTACAATGAAAGAAGCAGAAATGTGATTAGGTCATTCCTATGCTCCCACCTCATGTAAGTATATACACAGACAGCACAATGCAAAGCATTGGAGCCTGACTGGCTTAGAGTGCAAACTGATACTAATATCAATACAGTATCAGTTCTATGCTAAATGCCTTTTTTTTAAGCTATAAAGTCTGCTAGTGTTAGGAAATTAAAAACAAAAGTATCTTTCTATGCTGATTTTGATGTTGCAAATTAGGCAAAACCGAGCTGGACGGTCCAAGAAGCCAGTTAGTCAAAGTGGCTAAAAACACCTAATTTTTTAGAATAGCACCTGTCCAGCTCTGGCCTATACCAATTGCTTGATGCCAGCACTGTATTATTGGCCTTACATAAACATCATAAAAACAGTAAAATAGTCATGCTGGAGATGTAGGAGTTATTTTAAGATTGTATATACCACAAAGCGCAGACACCAGTTGATCATCAGTGACATTACTGATTATTTTATGGCCATTCTTTAAGCCCTGTTTTGCTGAAATGTCTAATCCCTCTTCAAGTAACGTCTCTTGCAAAGGGCTTTTACAGTAAGGGTGGTCTAGTAGCTTTGTATTAAATACATCCGAACTGCTGTTCTCATCTACTTCCATGGGACAGGAATCCTCTCCATTTTCCAGTCCCTCTGCATTGTCCTGAAAGTCAACATTTTCACTTGTACATGGCTTTATTTTATCAGGAGCCAGGAGCATAGTCTCTTCATCCTGATCTCCCTGTACATCGCCTTCCTCTTGGGAAGATATAGACACCTCTTTTTCTGATAAGAGACACAAATCAGGATAACTATTTATCACAGGAACTTCACTTAATTTCTTTTGCGATGTGTCCTCGGAACTCCACTGAGCACCCATACAAATTGCCGGCTGCTGGCTGTCTTTTAATATCGTTCTGTTTGCTGCCACATTTGAAAACGGAGTCTCATTGTCCACTCTCTGTAGCTTAACAGTCTCATCTCGTAGGCAAGCATTGGTTGTGCGTGGTTGTATTTCGCATAATATTCCTGATTTGTTATTGTTCATATCGTATGTCCTGCTTACTGCCTTGGCAGGTTGTCGAATCTTAAGCTTCAAATAAGAAAATACTTTCTCAAAGTTACTTTTTAGATTTTTACGGCACTTCCAAAATCGTTTGTAAAACCACAGCCACAAATCTAATATTTTAAGGCTTCTTCTTGCACCAAGCTTATGAGAGTGTAATCTGTTACGGCCTGTAAACGGAGAAGATTTTCTAGGCATCATAAGCAAATTACAGCATTTCCGCAACCATAAAACTCCAAATGATTTTTTCCTTAACACTTGTCTTTTGCTGTGCTCCTTAGCAGTCACAAGGGAGCAGGGACATTCTACCTTCGGCTGAAGCCTTTTACTGGCCTTTTTTGTTGTAGGGGCAGCAGTGTTGTCAGGGACAGGTGTATTAGTTAAACCATGTTTTACTAGTTTTTTGGTTTTCGCTACTGAACCAGTCTGAGCTTCAGCATTGGATGAACACTTACTACAGACCTTTTTCACGTCTTTTGCAGTCGAAATTTGCTCTGTAACCACCTTTTCAATATCAGGCTTCACCTTTCCGCTGTTATTTTTCACAGATTTTAATGCAGAGGCTTGATGTGCAATCTGTTTTTTCTTCACTTGTTTAACAAGACTGCTTCCAATATTCTGGCATTTGCTGACTTTTTTCAAGCTTTCAACAGTTTCTCCAGTCGACTTTCTGGGTAAAAAAGCAAATTGTCTTTTAAAGATAAAATCACTAAAGCTTCCCCATAGCGACCATGATGTGGACCAGTCAGAAAAATGACCTTTTCTGCAGAGAATCTTTTTATTTGCTGTCATTTTCCATTTTGAACCTGAGGGTATCCTTACACAAAAAGAAAAAAAAAAAAAAGACCCAATTAGATAAAAATCACAACTACAACCATTTCAACATTCAGTTACATTTGCACTAATGATTTACCCTTAGATAATGTTAGAAAGTTGTATGTATGTGTGTATATGTATATGTATATACATACATATACACATACACATACATCACACACACAGTTACAAAAAAAAGAAAATTGTGTTAAAAGTCCACTACCTATACCTATTCACAATAATATATGATCCAGAGGAACACAAGCACTACTGACTAGCATAAACCACTGTGATGGGCAATCCTATATGATTGCAAAACAGCCAACCAAGTACCCTGATTCTTGTCACAGTTAGATTTTGCTTTTAATACATTATCCATAACATTTGCTAAAGGCTATGAGAATCTTCTTAACATTATTATCTGGATTGCTTAGGTAGGCCCTATCTCAACATACTCTGCTTTATCATACAAAAATGTAATGGAAGGTAGAACTATAAAATCTACTTAGCTTTCCTACAGCAAAACTAATGCCTACTACAGAAGTGTCAGAAACTCCAGCTCCTGACTTTTGCCCAGGGCTGGCACTGATTGTATAGTTTACAATAATATTATATTGGTGACAATTTAGTCATGGTAATCTGTATTAACACTTATCCATCAAGTGTGACAAGCATAGTGCTGCTGCAGGTTGGCATTATGTTGCAGAGTGCGGCACAACTTACAGAGAACTATACGGCGATCTGAGGGCCGCTAAATTATAACCATCTAAGAATATATCCAATATGTGACTAGAACACTGTGGCTGGCTTACATTTTAATGTAGGAAAACGTCTTGTTGACGTTATAGGCTGCCATAATGTAAAACTAAAGCCAAAACTTTTCAGTAGGAAAGGGCAAAAATCCCACGGGTTTTTTTTTTGTTTTTAATTTCTTCTACTCCACTGGGGAGATTTCAAGAACTCCAGGAAATGTTTTTATTAACTATCACCGCACTACAAGGGTTCAGTGCTCGTTTGTGTTATACTCACCCGAAGCTCTGAGCCGGCCAACTGCCACAGCACTCCCTTCAGCCTGTCTCCCCATCCCTGAAGCATTGGAATCTTCAGTGTCTTCATGTCTATACACTCTGTATAGACGTGATGATTTACGTGACCTCTGCAGAGGAGGGGGAGACACACACGAAAGACCAGTCTAAGAAGAAGCCGGTTCAGAGCATTGGGCGAGTATAACTTATTTTTGAACCTAGACACAAACGAGCAGTTAACCCTTGCAGTGCAGGGGTAGCCCCACTAGAAGGGTTAATAATAGGCTTTCCTGGAGTTCTTCTTTTAGTTCACTTGCTGTCAGGTCAGAGGAAACCACATTCAAGTAAAGAAAAACCCTTTCTTGTTAGTCTTTGTAACAAGTGCCCCCCAATGAAAGGCTTTCAGCCCATCTATTCCAGTTAACAGTTACAATTTTGGATTTTCCTCACTTTCCATCCCAGGGAGGATTGTCACGCAAGTACGGGAAGCAGATAAACAAGCTGGCACTGACTACTGCAAATATGCCCCAAGTACAGGAGCTATAGAAAAACACCTGATTCAATTCAGTGGTCCCAAGACATTTTTAATGTTGATAGCACGGGTATGTCTAAAGTATGTTTTTCTATAGCAGATACTGGACATGTCACAAGCAGCTATGATGACCCTCTTATAGTCACTATTTAGCCAACACTGTACCTAAGGTCTGTGACATGAGCTCTACTCCACACTTCTCAGGTAAGACTAGGAAGGCATTATAAGGAGAGTGAATTACCTCAGCAGAGCAAGCTAGGTGGTGTCCCCCTCTCATAGTAACAAGAGGCACAGAATCCAGGCCAGGGACGGTTACAAACACAAGTACCAGCTCTGAGGGAAGCGTGTCAGCAGAGAGCGCACTGGGAGCAGGCCCATACGCCAGCAGCAGAACTAGTAGCTGAGGCTCACCGGAGGCCGGAGCACAGCAGAAGAGTACGCCTCACACATGCTCTAAGAGACCGGCCACCCCACGAATGACTGTCCCGCACTGCACATGAGCCCCGGGCAGGGGATAAGCCATTGTACGAGCGCCAATATCCACGACGTGAGAGCCGCAATACACAGCGTTCCCAATATACACCCAGCCTTCCTCCCGGCCCAAAACACAGATCGACGCCTCCTGTACGGCTCACCACAAGGGACAAACAACCCTGTGCAGTGCACAGCCGGAATAGAGCACGTGACCGCTGACGGTGGGAGGACGAGCCGAGTGTGCACGAGGGGAGATGACGCTGGGTCACGTGGGCGGAAGTACCTGTGCGGCTTGTTGTTGTGTTCAGCAGACTCCATGCTTTCCTTAGGTGGGGGCAGTGAGCATCTATAGATATTGGGGGGAATTTATGAAAACTGGAGCAGAAGAATCTGAAGCAGTTGCCTATGGCAACCAATCAGCCTCTCTCTTCAGTTTGTCCAGTTAAGGTTTGAAAATGAAAGGTGGATGCTGATTAGTTGCCATGGGCAACTGCTCCGGTTTCTGTTTGCTCCAGTTTTGATAGATTCCCCTCACTGTGTCTAATGTGACCTAAGGAGGCGGACTTCTGTTTGTCTGTTCTCTGCAAGTGAAAAAGGAATGGGTTCGCAATGTACTTCCATGTATCATTTTCAAGTTCAGTAAATGACAAAATGAAAACCTGTTTAGTTGTAGTGAGTCGTTCATTTTTATATGAACTGACAGTTCTTTTAAAGGAGAACTATGGAGTCAGTGTTTTTCCCCATAGTTCTCCTTAGGGTAACGGGAGGACACAAACTAGCGTCCTCCCGTTACTCTAAGGTCAGTATACTGCGAGCCACAGCTCGCGGTATACTGAGACGCCGGAGCGGATCCCCACGTAGATGACGGGATCCGCCCAGCTGCGTGAGTGACAGCTGGCTCTGCCTATCTAGAGGCAGAGCCAGCTGTACCCGCCCCCTCCCCCGTCCGTTCCGCCAGTCAGCGCTGGCGGATCGGGGAGAGGGGAATCCAGCCCCTCCCCCTGTCACGCCAGAGAGCCGTGACAGGATCGAGAGGTGAGCGAACCTGGTATGTGTTCGCTCACCTCCCGATCTACTGAGCCGACCTGTGACAGTCTCATTGTCACAGGTCGGCTAGAACTATGAGGTGAGTGGAAATCACTCATCTCATAGTTCTCCTTTAATGTTTACCATTTCATATGGCTGAAACTCAGCACACACGTTACAATCTGATGGGACAATCCTCTTTACTTCCAACAACTGTAATGCAAGAGCCTGCCTGATTGGTTACAGATTGATTGGCTAGATTAGGTAGGTCCTCATATTACAGTTTTAGGAAATCTAAAGCTGATTGTAGCAAGATTGTGCAGTCAGATTGTAATGTATGGAAACCCTGAGTTTCCGTTCACACTTTGCGCACTTTCACACAATGCTTTAAAAACGTACAACACACTTGCGGTGCAATTACTTGTTAATGGGACCCCAAACGCAACCAGTGCATCTTTGCCTGCGGGTTGCCAGGCACCAAATGTATGGTCAAAAAACATGTCGAGCTCCAGCTGAAACAGCTGAATGAGCTTGTCTTTTGTCTGAAATGAATGAACTGATGCGCAGCAAATGCGGCACACAACTTGAAACAACCTGTATCCCAACGCACTCCTAACCGGATGGAAGCCCATGTAAAACAGGGCGGGTGCGGCAGTGACAGCAGATGCCTCCGCAAAACACAAGTCCAAACAGAAAGTCACTCGCACTCCAATGCAATGCCAAGCCAATCTTGTTCCTTCTTCAGGCAAACGAAAACAAAATTTGCCTGCGTGTTTATAGATCCAAAAATAGTCACCAGCACACCAAAGCATATTCTGTCAATTCTTTTCTATTTTGTCAATAAAGAAGAATTGACAGAAAATGCTTTGGTGTGCTGGTGACTATTTTTGGATTTGTACTTAATTTGCGGTGGCGCCCACAGTCATTACTGCACCCACCCGATGCTTTGGGTTGTATCCTGTCAGGAGTGCGATGGGATTCTATGAAGTTTGTGTGTTTATAGAGACACACACAAACTACTAGCACACACAACGGTGGCTCTGTAGGATCCTGCAATGTAAAGGAGCCACCCTCAGGGCTTGTTCACACCATATACAGTGCGTTCAAGTGCAGTTAGCTGCTGGAACGCACTGTATCACATAGTAAACTCCCCCCTCCGTTCTAGGGTGGGAGAGGGCGGTGCATTGAAGTCAAAGGCACCGCAGCTATCCCCCCCCACCTGCAGTGCGATCGCCCGCACCAGAACGCAGGCACATCAATGCCTGCGTTCTGGTCCGAACGCACTGGACCGCAATGCAGGCACTGATGTGCCACATGTTCTGGTGCAGGTGGGGGGCATGGCTACGGTGCCACTGACTTCAATGCACCGCCACGCCTCCTTCTGCCCCTAGAAAGCAGTGAGACGGCCAGGATGTGATACAGTGCGTTCCAGGAAGGCACTGTATATGGTGTGAACAAGCCCTTAAAGGAGAACTGTGGGGTCAGGGCTTTTCCACAATAGCTCTCCTAAGGGTAACGGAAGGACACAAACTAGCGTCCTCCCATCACCCTAAGCTCAGTATACCGCGAGCTACAGCTCGCGGTATACTGAGACGCCGAAGCCAGGACAGATCCCGACATTACTGTCTGGATACACCCAGCTGTGTGAGTGACAGCTGGCTCTGCCTATCTAGAGGCAGAGCCAGCTGTACCCTCCCCCGTCCGTTCCGCAAGTCAGCGCTGGAAGATCGGACAGGGGAGGGGGGAATCCCTGCAGGGAGCCGTGAGTGACAGTCACGGCTCTCTGCAGGGACAGGATCGAGAAGTGAGCGAGCGACAGTATGTGTTCGCTCACTTCTCGAACTATTGGGCCGACCTGTGACAGTTCCATTGTCACAGGTCGGCTAGAACTATGAGGCTGAGTGATTTTTACTCGCCTCATGGTTTCCCTTTAAACAGGATATCAGGGCCAGTGATCAGAATACCAGCTGATTCAGCAGGAAGCTGAAACTTTTAAACATCAAGAATCAGCATCTTATTGTAAGTTGTTTCATCAGCACTTGAAAAAGCAAAAACATTTTTTAACTTTAATATCACTTTAAAATACAGGCAGCCTGTAAAAAAAAGCTGTATACTTACCTTACTGGTCCATATGTTAAAACTCAACTTTGTTGCTGAAGTCCGGCTTCTGCAAGTATCCAACATTTCTGAGAGCATTGAATATCTGCTTCTCCAGCAGAACACTGTGGTCCCTACTACAGAATCTATGAGCCAGTAAGAGGAACTACAGCATACTGCAGGGGATTACTTACCTTTCCTGCTGCCTAGGTTGCTGAACACCACTCCAGTCCTGTGACTAGAGAAAAACCAACACTTCTGGGAATGTAACTCTCCTGGCTCCACTACCGCTCTCACTTGTTCATTCTGCTTACCTTTACTCCATTACTGTATCCTGTAGTGACGGTGAGGTCAGCAGGAGGAATTGCATAAGTTGAGTTTTGACTGGTTCTCTTTAAACTGCTTAAAGGAGAACTATGGGGTCAGGGCTTTTCCCCATAGTTCTCCATAGGGTAACTGGAGGACACAAACTAGCGTCCTCCCGTCACCCTAAGCTCAGTATACCGCGAGCTACAGCTCGCGGTATACTGAGACGCCGCAGCCGGAGCGGATCCCGACATTGATGTCGAGATCCGCCCAGCTGCGTGAGTGACAGCTGGCTCTGCCTATCTCGAGGCAGAGTCAGCTGTACCCGCCCCCTCCCCCGTCCTTTCCGCCAGTCAGCACTGGTGGATCGGAGCTGGGAGGGGGGAATCCATCCCCTCCCCTGTCACGGCAGAGAGCCGTGACAGGATCGAGAAGTGAGCGAACACCGGCATGTGTTCGCTCACCTCCCGATCTACTGAGCCGACCTGTGACAGTCTCATTGTCACAGGTCGGCTAGAACTATGAGGTGAGTGAAAAGCACTCACCTCATAGTTCTCCTTTAAGCAGGTCAGCAGATATATTTACATAGGTAATAAAGTTAAAATAAGTATTTATCAAATATAGCGTCTCACAATTCCTGCTATATCCCCGGGTAATTTCCTCATATATTGTCTTCTTTACAGCAGATCTGGTGCATGAGCGTGTCTACAAGAAATGGTATAGTGTAAACCTTTGTAATTAAACTGGTGATTTGCAAATGACTTTCAGTAACCATTTCAGTCATCATAGAATAGCATGGGACAGCTTACTGCACTTGCCTTATTTCTGGGGTCAGCCATTCAACTATTTATTTATCTATTTATTACAGGTGTTTATATAGCATCTACAATTTACGCAGCGCTTTACATACTGCACATTCACATCAGTCCTTGCCCGCAAGGAACTTACAATCTAAGGTCCCTATAGATACACACACATACTAGGGCCAATTTAGATAGGAGCCAATTAATCTTCCAGCATGTTTTTGGAGTGTGGGAGGAAACTGGAGTTCCCCAAGGAAACCCATGCAAGTTTCAATTACCTTTAGATATAGTACAAAGTTAGTTTTGAATCCAACAAAATATGCCAGGTCAACAAAATAAGTGCATATTGATACCAATAGAGGTTCAAAAGGAGAGGAGAAGTTTCAGGGCATAATTTTTATACAGATCAAAACTGACATGTCAGGCTCTGTAGTGCCTGTGAAGGGGGACAGCTCATTGAAGTTATAATATAAAGTGTCTAGCAAGCTGGTGTACTTCTTTATGATCGTGCAGTATTGGATTACCAACAAGGTAACATAGACAACTGCCAAGGGCCCCTGAAAGGAGAACTATGAGGTGAGTGCTTTTCACTATGAGACTGTCACAGGTCGGCTCAGTAGATCGGGAGGTGAGCGAACACATACCAGCGTTCGCTCACCTCTCGATCCTGTCACAGCTCTCTGCCGTGACAGGGGAGGGGCTGGATTCCCCCCTCCCCGCTCCGATCTGCCAGCGCTGACTGGCGGAACGGACGGGGGAGGGGGCGGGTACAGCTGGCTCTGCCTCTAGATAGGCAAAGCCAGCTGTCAGTCACGCAGCTGGGCGGATCCCGGCACAATTGTCGGGATCCGCTTCAGCTGCGGCGTCTTAGTATACCGCGAGCAGCAGCTCGCGGTATACTGAGCCTAGGGTGACGGGAGGACGCTAGTTTGTGTCCTCCTGTTACCCTAAGGAGAACTATGGGGAAAAGCCTTAACCCC